TCTCCTCGACCCGTTTCTCCAGCGATTCGGCGCGGCTTTCGGCGAGTTTCCTTAGGGCGGACTCGTCATTGGCTCGCTTTACTTCACGCAGAAATTTCTCTTCCGCGGAGCGCTGCATTTGCCTGGCATTTTCGGCATCGGCTCGCGCAGCAGCAACGTCATCTTGGGCACGACGGAGTTTAAATTGAAGTTCCGCCTCCTGCCGTTGAATCTCCGCCATTTTCTTCTGCAGATGCTCCACTTCATAACTGACGGGCGCTCGATTCACCGCAATACTCGCGTCATGCGAATTAGACTCGCCGGTGGCCGCCTCCATCACGCCACGCCGCTCCTTCGCCGCCCTCGGCACCGGATTCCTCGCGGAATATCGTCGGCCCAAAGCGGCCCGCGCAGCTTCCTCGGCAGCGGCTCTTTCGCGCTCCGCCTCCATTGCCTCCCGCTGGAAAAACGCCGTTCTCTCCTCATCGGTCATGTACTGCATACGCTCCCCGCGCTCCAGCGCGCGAATACTCATCCAATCTTCATGCTTCTCCCGCTCAATTTTCGAGCGAGCGGCACGCTCACGCTCCTCCTGCATGTAACGAATCACCCGCTGCTTGCGCCTGGTCTCGTCGATGGTATGTCCTTCACCGCGAACGCTGGAGCGGCAACTGAAACGACTGCCAAGGCGCACGGAGCATTGACTACCGCGTGGATCACCAAAGCTTGTGGCACTTCCGCAGGAATCACACCTGCGACTAAAATAGCCGTTCCACAGCGGGTCCGGGTCATCACGCGTGGCGATCCCAATCCCGTCCCAGTGAAAGTTTTCCATGGCCTGCTCAAAGCCCCCACGGCAGCCCGTAATAATCTCTTCCCCTTCCCCTTCTCTCAGCCGCAAAAATAAAGGAACCCCCCACGCACACAAACACGAAAAAAAAAAAAATGCACAAAGAAACCACGACTCACTCGGGTCTCTCACCCACGCACCAAAGAATCATGCATCCGTTTTGACTAAACACGACTACAGAGTGTCAGGTGCCGGGTTCCCTTCGCCCCCTCCTCCTTTTAGGTTCCAACATTAACCAATCAGCCCCCTGTAAACACAGGAAACAGGTGATGGTTATCCTCACTCAGAAAAAAGGCATCCACACAGCATCCAATTAACAACAGGAAAAAAGAAGACTCCAAAGTCATTTACAAAAAAACACGTCACGTGAGAGGCACTGAGGCGCAAACAATACATTTGTCGAATTAAACAGCGTTGCCCACACGCTGCGCAGCGCCCTTCAGTTGGCAAGAGTTTCTGGAATTGATTTACAAGGATTAAAAAAAAAAACATTTGTTATGGCACCATTCCCCGTTATGCAGCGGTGCTCCGAGTACACCACAGAGAGAAAAAAAAAAAAAAAACGCCAATAGAAGGGGTCTTTTTCCTGGAAGCAAATGGAATGCTTCAGCACAACAAGCCAGCCGCGCCAAAAAAAAAAAATCTCTCTTCCCCTTCTCAAAAATCATCCTACTCAGTACCCTGCGGCATCACGTTACACTTGCGCCAAATACTGAGAAGGCACACCAATTGCAAAAATGGCAATTGAGCGAGATGTTCGAGAAGACGCCAATAAGAAAGCGTGTATACGGCATTGCAGTGAGCGGGGCACCATCCATAAAGGCGCGGCCCCCCTCCGCCCAGTGTCCATAATGCGCAAAAAACATTTGTAAAAATTCCATCAAAAAACAGACCCTTGTCTGACAGCAGAAAGAAATCACCCCAACACCACACGTAGTCGTCTATGACTCTATGAAAGCCGGATTTGGTGAAAAGAGCAAAGACAGTGGAAATGAATCCCAGAATAAACCACAAGGCATCCCACAGTCAGGTGAGAGACCAATTCATTTGCCAGCACAATGTTCCACGTAAAACAAAAGATTATACAGGCGCTGAGCTTGTCAGGGTGCATTTCAGCCCTAAAAATACGGCATCCACACTTTTAATTGTGTAAAATGACAACAAAATGGAATTCATGAATTCCGGACACAGCCTCATCACAGAAAAGTCGAGATACCGGCTCTTCTTAAATGGATCATGAAGACTCGCACCCACTCCAACGTTATATGCCACACGCCAGAGAGCACATTCAAGAGAAAAAAACCATACGGGGAGTAGGTTTACGCAACAGAGCCCATACACTGTGGCCGCCAGAGAAACCCCAGTAATACCCACCGGCAGCGCCGTCGCAGAACATTTCCACAGCCTTCTTTAAATAGCATGCCTCTAACAGACATGATATCCCCAAAGCAACAGGAAAGACCTCCGTCTGGCAGAATACCCGCACAGCCGTCACGGAGCCCCCCTCTCGTCCTCATTTACTCCCTGATTGCCAATCATCCCAGACTAGACGACATGATGGAAGTTCGTTGTTACGACAAAAATAAAAATAACCAAAAAAAGTGCAAAAGGATAAAAGCGCACGGGTACAACCAAAGCCGAGAAAGGGAGATGTCGCAATATAATTCTTCCATTACTCTATATATTTGTAAATAATAAGAGAGAAAAAGCGCTACACACACTTCTCAACAATTTGGCATTTTGTCTCCACCTTTTTTTTTTTTTTTTTGATTCCTTCAGATTGAGGGAAGCGTGTTCCCCTTGGCACTTTGAAGAACTCCAAACATGAACTCACGAAGTTGACGGTGGGATAATATTTGCAAGCAGGTGTTCGCCGCCCACCGTATCGCCGTCCCTCACAAAAAACTCCAATTCGCCTTCACACGTCGCTCTGACAAAGTGCTCCATTTTCATCGCTTCAAGCATAAGAATTGCCTCGCCCTGCTTCACCTTCGCACCGTTGGGCACAAGCAGTTTGGCCACTTTCCCCGGCATGGGGCTCACCACACGCGCCGACCCAGCCTCCTGCAGGGACGCATTACCAAAGTCTTCAGACAGGGAATGTAGATTCAAAATGTAAAGTTCTTCTGGCAGCACCATAGCAATCGCCTTGCCTGTTATAACAGAAGTACAGTCAAACCGACACCCATCATCCATCCTCACGGAAAACTCAACGGTCCCAGTGTTTATTGGTTTCCAATGTTCCACCTTCACCCCGCAACGGCTGCCATCGACGTCGCAAAGAAAATAGCCGTCATGAGAAACACTGACCTGTACAGTGACACGACGACCATCGACAAGAAAAGGAACGCGTTGAAACAATGTATGGTTTAAACGAAATGCAGATGCAGCAGATCCATAATAATTCAAAAAGGAGACAGCTCCAAGCGCTAAAACAGGATTCCTGAGAGGTTTTGTTCGAAGCAGTTCAGTTCTGTTCTTCTCAATAAAATTTGTTGTCACGCCTCCCTCAATAAAGGAGGAATTTTTGAGGCAACGTTTAAGAAACTCAACGTTGGTCTGCACACCAACAATGTGGTATTTATCTAAAGCCGTATGCATCCCCTCAAGAGCTTTGGAACGGTTCTCCCCCCAAACTACCAGTTTGGCAATCATGGGATCGTAGTGGACAAGCACATCGTCTCCAGAACGGAATCCTGAGTCGACTCGAACTCTCGTGCCTCTATGGATGCCCTGTGGTGGTTCTCGAATGTACTTCAGTTTTCCACTACCAGGAAGAAATCCATTCGCAGGAGATTCCGCGTATATTCGAGCTTCCACGCATGCACCATAAATCGAAATATCCTCCTGAGTGAATCCCAACGGATTCCCCTGGGCTGTTTCTAATTGCAAACGAACAAGGTCGAGAGGTTTTCCTTTAATTTGACATATTTCTTCAGTCACCGGATGTTCCACCTGCAGGCGTGTGTTCATTTCCATGAAAAAAAACGTGTTTCTCTCAGTATCAAAAATAAACTCCACCGTCCCCGCTCCAACGTATCCAACTGCTTTGGCCGCTCTCAAAGAAACTGTTCCAATTCGGTGTCGCATGTCAGGGGTTATGTGAGGTGCCGGGGCCTCTTCAATCACTTTTTGGTGCCTCCTTTGGACACTACAGTCTCTTTCAAAGAAAAACACCCCGTTACCAAATTTATCAAAAAAGATTTGGCACTCAATGTGTCGTGGTTGCGTGACGTAACGCTCCAAAATAACCCGATCATCCTTAAAGAAATTCATAGACTCACGCTTTGCACTTTCCAACATGAGTTTGAATTCATCCACACTCTTCACAATCTTCATCCCCTTCCCACCACCACCCGAAACAGCTTTAATGAGTACAGGGAAGCCAATTTTCTTCGCCTCTTCACACAAGCACTCAAAGCTTTGATCCTCACCATAATAACCTGGCACAACTGGGACCCCCGCGGCCTCCATAATGCGCTTGCTTTCGCTCTTGGAACCCATAGAGGCCATAGCCGCAGCTGGGGGTCCGATAAACTCTATCCCTGCTTCTGCAACAGCGGCGGCAAACTCAGGGCTTTCCGAGAGAAATCCATATCCAGGATGCACGGCGTCGGCGCAAAGTCTCTTTGCGGCCTCAATAATGCGTTCGCCTCGAAGGTAAGACAGAGAGGCTGGGGATGGACCCAGCACAAAGGCTTCATCCGCCTCCTGCACATGCCTAGCATTCAGCTCACTTTCACAGCAAACGGCCACGGTCAGTAAGCCCATCTCACGGCATGTGCGAAATACGCGGCACGCAATTTCGCCACGGTTCGCCACCAGAATTTTCTTGAATTCCGCATGACAAAACCTCGTGCGACGGAGCATCAATAAATTCTTCCTGAGAAAAAAGCAGCACTCAACATTAAAAAAATAAATAAATAAATAAATAAAAATCGCACATTTTGTACAAACGTACACACAGGTACAAATACAAGTCCATTGCACATCCGATTTATTCAAGACCCGTTATTATTGTTATTTTTTAAAATCTTCCATGTGTCTATATATATATATATATACGCATGTGTGTGTGGGGATAAGATAGAAACAAGATGAAATAAGGACCAAGAACAAAAGAGTGGCAAATACCGGAAGATATTCCTCCTCACACTGCATGCACGTTTTTCTATGAGCCAACCTGTTGCATGGAAACCGCATGCGGTTCCTCCTCAATGACCGGGTGGACAGCCAAAAAGCGCTCCGCGTCCGCCAAATCCCGACGCAACATAGAAGCCCGTTTCGATAATGAGTCTTGCTCGATGCCTCGAAGAAGATAGGCGACATTTCCACGATGATACTTTTTCCCGTAAAATGCTCGACAGATGGCTGAAGCTTCCTCAACGAGACACCGCGCTCGATCTCCTCTCCACTCAAAGGGATCGACAGGTAAAAGCCCATCGCCCAATACACTCAATTTCACGTGCAACACCGAATCCTTGATCGCGGGCATGGTTGCCGGAAGAAGACGCACACGAGAATGCTTTTCAACACTATTCTCAAGCACATTTCGAATGACTGGGTGCAGTTCATTGATGCAGAAACCCGAGCTACCTTTTTGCTCCCTCCGGATGGCTCTCCACGCAATGACATTATTTGTGTACCACAGGTGAATCACCATTCCTAGTCCCATCACAATTGCAACATCATTCCGCCCAAATACCTTTTCAATGAGCTCCTTGTTAGGGCAAAAAACGCCGTGCTCCTCGTAAAACAGAACCGCCATGCGGTTCGGGTTGTCTACCATCAACACAGACGCGAGCGATGACACTTTTGCCATTGTGATAATGGCCTCGGCTTCCGTTTCTAGACCGTACGTCTTCCGTAGGCACCACGCCCCACTCCCATCGCCACTCTCAAACGCATCAAAGGC